TTAAGAGTCTGGACTCTTGTTTCAATGCATAATCCGCTTGAATCAATGCAAAATCCGATTGAAACCAAGCGTTCAAGACTCTTAAATCCGGCGATAAGAAACTGCACTCTTTAAGTCAATGCAATGCGGCATTGGTCCAAGAGGTTTTTTTTACCAGTGTTTTCCTTGAATCGAAGAACCAAGCTTCTTGATTTAAGCGCATTTCCTTTAGATTCGAGCAAAAATCCGATCGAATCAAGAGTACTTTTTCTTGTCAATGTTTTAAGAGTTAGGACTCTAGATCCAAGTAACTTTTTTTTTTCCCAATGTGCAACAGAACCATTTGGACCAGCGTTCATCATTTTCACCCTGAAACGATATCCCCAACAGCCGCAGATGATTCCAAGAACTTATTTTTTCGATCCACTCTCATGCGTGAAGTGATTTTCACGGAGCGGGATTCACTCCTTTAATATTATTATTATTCATGTTACTTAGGGTTTCTGTGGACATTGGGCTTCCCCCGGAGTGATATGAACCCCAGATTTCACTCGGAGGTTTCCGACGGATCATGAAACTGTCCAGTTGAGATGGACTGCGTTCCGTGCTGGAGCTGCTCGGATGGCACCCTTATCCCACGTGACAACCGCGGATACGGCGTGGGGGGTGGGGGATGATGGAGTGGCTAAAAAAGAAGTGAGTGGGCGAAATAAATCCTGGAGCCGACTCCCGGATCCGGCGTCCCGACGACCAACTATCCGCTGCATCTGCCACCCTCCCGAGTGCCTCCCCCAGCCCCGTCTCCTGGCGTGTCGCTACGATTTGTTTACGGGCCGATTCCTCTAAAAATAAAACGATTTCGTTTACCCGCCCGCCGCCGTCTCCGCCCCCCACCCCCGGGAGGGAAAGGGGGGGAGGGCTAAAGTGCGCCCATGAGCCCCGAGGTACTTCCGAGTCACCTCCACTCGCCGCACAGTGGATCGAGTCAATGGGGGGGGGATGTCGGATAAAATTTGGAAACTTTAAAAGCTCATAACTTCGTTCATACAAAACTTTGAAGTTCTAAAAGTAGTCTCATAGGTTTCCTCGTTAAATTTTCTTCCTAAACCACCCCTTGAAATTTCAAATGTGACGAATTAAACATCAAAAGTTGCAGTTTCAGTTGAGAATTCCATGTCCGACCTTTCTAATTGACTCGATCCATTGTGCGCCGCTACCCCTCCACGTTGACTCCGGGACCAAGTGGCGCACACTGCCGTGCTAAGGAAAAACGCCGTATGAACATTTGAGAGTTGCCAATTTTCCTTCGATAAAATGTTTATTTTTGAGGAAAGTTATGCATATTTTTCCTTTAAATTTTCAGAATCTTCAGGTGAAATTGCGAATAAAATTATCTGAGAAATTGGGAGGAAAATATTCATAAGTTTACCAGGAAATTCGCGTCTTATCAAAGGAAATTTGGCAACGCCTGAAGGTTCATACGGCATTTTTTCTTAACACGGCAGCACAGTGAATCGAGTCAATAGAAGAGGTCAGACAAAATTTGGAAACTGTAAACGCTTGTATAAGTAACTCCGTTCATACAAAACATTGAGGTTCTAAAAAAGGTCCCATTGGTTTCCTTGTGAAATTGCCTTCTAGAGGCACCCATTAAAATTTGAAGAGTGACGAAACAAACATCGAAGTTTGCAGTTTTAGTTAGAAATTTCGTGTCCGACCTCTCCAATGGGCCTGTTGCATGCAAGAGATACAGCCGTGCGAATAGACTTTTTAGAGGTTAAATGACACGAAAATTACGATGGTCACATTAAAAAAGTCTGAAATACACTCCTTACTGCGCAATTTGTGTTGTTAGGAACGCGCTTTTTCAAATTTCCCGCGCCTGGGGGCAGTTTTCTAACGGAACCAATTAACGGAAACTCGCGGCTATTTCCGGTCAACTAAAACTGACAACATAACCTAAAAATCGGAGCTCGTGACATCGTGAAATGAAATGTAGAAGGATTGCGTTGGATATTTAAAAGTTGATCGATTTGGTTACCGCATAAAGCGTATATGGACCACTGTAGGAGATCACGTTGGGTTTGTAAACAAACTGAAGGAATAAATAACAACAACAACAACGACTCGGCATCTTCCGGAAATCACCGAGCCCGCCGTTTGCTCGTTTCCGGTGATTAGAAAACTGCCCCCAGGCGCGGGAAATTTGAAAAAGCGCGTTCCTAACAACACAAATTGCGCAGTAAGGAGTGTATTTCAGACTTTTTTAATGTGATCATCGTAATTTTCGTGTCATTTAACCTCTGAAAAGTCTCTTCGCGCGGCTGTATCTCTTGCATGCAACAGGCCCATTGTCTCGATTCACCGTGTGTCGGTGGCTCATCGCAAGCGCGTGCTTTCTCGTTTTTCTTTTTATACACAGAAAATAAGGGGTCAAAATCGGCGCGCCTACTCCCAGTATCGTAATTTTTTTTTTTTTTTGATATTTCGTAATGGAGAACTTGCACGTAAATTTTTTATCACATTGTCAAAGAGTGCTTTGAGAGCAGATTTCGCGGTATTTTTATTATTATTATTATTATTATTATTATTATTTAGTTAATATTACCTATGAAGTTTTTTGTTTTCCTCCTCATACACAGGACAAGAAAAAGTCAAAACCGGCATACGTACTCCCAGACAGAGTCGCGAGATTTTCCGATATTTCTCAATGGAGAACTAGCACGTAAATTTTTTATCGCTTTGTCGAAGGGTGCTGTTAGAGCAGATTTTGCGGTATTTTTTATAATTTTTTTCTAATATGGGAATTAGCATAAAAATAGGATTAGAAATGGGAAAATGTACCATCGAGAAACATCATTTGGCGGCATTTTCCATTTAAACACATATAATGCAGCAGATTGGATTATTTTGTCATATCTTGTCCAATAGTTGATCAATTTATGAACCACTGGTATTCTCGTGTTCAATTCACTCAGTAGTTTCAACTTAAACACGAAATGTATCAAATTTCCGACACGTGCAAATTCTTTACAGTTTTCGACCTCGAAAAGGAGGGCCAAACTTTAATTCCGGGGCCGAAATCGGCGAATTTTGGTTTCATGCTGCGGCCAAAGGTGTCAGTTCATGTAAATATATCCATCGGCTATGTTGTTGGGGACCCTTTCAAGAGGTAAAATATGTGAACCTGGTCAACTGCATGCCATCTTTGGGCCAAGCATTGGATTTGAGGTACGGAACACCGGGAAGACACGAATTTTTGCCCGTTTCAGCCTTTAGACCCTAGCTCGGGCCCCCATTTCGAGGTCAATAAATGTAAGTAGGTATCGCCAAGACCCAAAAAAATATTTCTCTAAGGTACACATCGTTATAATCTCGAGATTTTGAGATTATGGAGATATTACAGCCCTTATTGATACACTTCCTGCCTCTCAGACGCACTTGCCAGCGAGATTCGGAAGATTTTTAAACATGCTGACAACAAGAAAAATAGGACCATTTGGTCTTATCATTGCCGGCCAAAAGATGTTTTCAAAACTGGATCTAAATCCTCTCGTGAGGATGGGCTACAATCGATTTCAAAACAACAATAGATTCTCACAATCCGACGTTTACAGCTCTCGACAGATTCTTAGATTTGGCGGCTGAAGGTGCAATTTGTCGAACTTAATTAAGTGATGAGCGAAAGAACAAAAAAAAAAAAAAAAATTAAAAACAAACATTTTCTTCTTTCTCAAGAAGATGTTTTGCCTTACACCTGTTTTGTCCCCTTTTTCTTGATGCAAACTTTGGAGAACAAACTATTGAAACCCTAAAAAGAATTTTTTCTATTGAGAGATTCAAATGGAATCATGGCTCTTTGATCGGTAAATTGAAAAACAAAGTAAAAAAAATGTAAGACCTCGTAGCCATCAGATTGCACATTTCATTTCCTCCGAATGCATCTGGTCAAAATATGCTGGGCTGAGGTTTTCTCAATCCAAAAATGCTTCTAACACTCCGTGTGTTCTAGATCCAAAAATGCAATCGGTATGCACATTTTCTTTTTAAAAGAAGAGGAACCGTTCATTGAAAAAGGACAATCAAGTCAGTCAGAGAGACTGCTGCAGCTTCTCACAACATTTAAGTTGATTTATTGATGGACCAGGAATTCTGAACTTAGATTCCACTGAATTGGAGAAACTTCAGGTCTTTCCCTTGGCAAAAATTTGAATGAAGTTGGTTGTCTTATGGTACGGGCTACAGTGCGCAAACACAGTTTATGAAAACTGCAGGATACCAAGTTGAATTTTAATCTCTACACGCTGGAGGCATACATTCATGATTGATGTAACCGAATTCTTTTGATAAGGCACTTCAAGGTATAGCTATAAATATGATTGAGAAAATTCTATTGACTGAAGTGGCTCTGATCAGATGGCTCCAGTTTAATGTTGGATGATAGTGCCTTAGCTTTAAAACAATCATGGAGAGATATCACAGAATATGTCCTTGCAAATAGTATGGGGTGGGATGTTACAGCGCTGAAACAACATTGAGAGCCAGAATGTACAAGTCCACCTAATGCAGAGATGCTTGACATACATTTACGCTGACTTAAAATTTATAAGCCATCGTTACGTTCATTGCTCTGTCAGAAGCTCTAATGGACTGGTGGCCAGAAGTCTCTCAAGACGCGTCACTTTCCAGAAAATGTAATAACAGCCTTGAGATTTGAGACAAGCGTAAGAACTTGTCATGCCCATGGGACAAAAAATTCACTAGCAACATGACGAGTTGAAGACAATCTTCCTGAGGTGAACTTGGACCGAAGCCTTATCCTCCGTGTCCTATTCTACAAGGATTGTGGGGCAACATAGTGAGTTCATACTTTTGTCAACGACTTTGAGAAAAGCCAGATGGGTAATCTGAATATCCAAAATCACGAGTACCTAACCTCTCAGATGAATTAATGAAAGTCGGACAAGGTAAACAAAGCCAATAGTAGAGAACTTAAATTGATCTGGGATGATGCAACTCACCCATAAAAAGATCCACGTATTATAAGAACAATGACTGGAGCACTTGAAGGACAGGAAAATCTTAACAGAGAATTTGAGACGATGACACTAAAGGTAAACACCTCCAAATCACAGATGAGTTGCCTCGTCTACAGGGGTAAACACATGTTAATGGCAAGGCCAATTGAGCCGTAAATATGAGGATTTCGTTAACTAATTATTCAAAATATAATCACGACGAATGAAACAAAAACATGGAATTCCACAATTCTCGGTCAACACAACCTCTTGAAAACAATCACAAACTGCAATCACGGGCACAGGCGCGAGGTGATAGGACGGGCAAGCGTGCGCATTAGCAAGAAATTCGCAGAACTGAAAGAAACTGAAGAAGTAAAAGAGAAGGGAGCGGAGTTAAAGGAAGAAGAATTTCTTCACATTGAATGAAAATATTTCTTGTAATGCTTAGCGCGCTCTATCAGCAGTGGTAACAACTATGGCGCCGGGTGGCGCCAAAACAATCAAAACAAAACCATAACCCCATACATGGCACTGGCAGTCGGTCAAAATATTTTTTAACATTTTGAAGCATTTTAATCCGTCCGAGCACTCGCTCTTCATAAAGTTTTAGCTGATTAAGTTAATCTAGAACGACAGCTCGTGGGATTCGTCAGTGTAGAAGCACAGTCAAATTCTGGGCCTTGAAATTTCACTCCTGAAGAAGGCGCAAATGTAAGTTCCTGATTATATTTAGTCACTCTTTCTAGTTTCCTTAAAGTGAAGAACTTAATGCCTCTATGAAAAGTGGCTTTAAGTATGCTCTTTATCCATCTCTTCCTAAGCTAGTGTGTCGAGAAAGTGTTATCACTAATCATCAGAATCCTCTTGCTAAATTATCGAAAGTTCACTCTGGAAGATTTCAAAAATAGCTCCTGGCAAACTGATGGTCACATGAAGCTAAATCATTAAATCATTGATTCCAGATCTGTAGGAAGATGGCCAATAAAAAAACTCAAGAATGATCGGGTTTATTTGTGAAATTTGCATTGATAAGCATAAACCAGAACAATGCACATCCTATTCTTAAGTTCCCTTCCTGCAGTTTCGTTCACTAACAATAAGTACTGGTTTAGATTTTGCATCTTACTTTGAAACTGATTTTTTGAGGAGCAGACAACATTCTCTGCTGTTCCTTTCAGTAATCCCAGGTGTACATAAGAATGAAGCACTTAGGTATTTGGAGGAAAAAGGATAAAAGAGATCATATCCTCTTTTGATCATGCTGGTCATGATTCTGATTGAGGTAATGTCAAAAAAAAAAAAAAAAAAAAAAAAATTCCCATTTGGAATATATCTTTACCAGCATTAGCTCTTATGATTATGTAAGTAGACAGGCATTATTAGAAGTGGAAGGTCTTTCCCCTTACACTTGGCGCCTTGTGTCCGTATATTTTTTATCAGAGGATAGCTGATTCTCTTTCTGTACAACAATTCTAGCACGTTTGGGAGCATTGCTCTGCAGGTATGATTCATACCTGTAAATATTTTGGCATGAAGATGAATCTATTCACAATACTTTTATGGACAATAAATTGAAAATAATGCAATTCAATTAATCTGACTGTACCTACATTTCTCAAATAAATGTCCTCAAAAAAAAAAAGTCTTCAAAAATTGAATTAAAAAGACTGAGTGCAAATTTTCCATATGTAACTTTATTACAATTCCATTTTGTTCAGAGGTTCTTGTTTTCAGGTAACCTTGCTTGCGCACTGGACTAATAGAAAATTTCATTTAAAACGGAACACATGGATCCACCATCAGATTTCCCATTTCCTTTTCCACCCTATGAGCAGCAACACAGATTCATGCGAGAACTATTCCTGGCCATCGAAAATAAGAAACTTGGAATTTTTGAGAGCCCCACAGGAACGGTAAATATATTTTTTTCTCTATGGTAAATTGGCATGTCAGAAATGCTGCAAGGGACATGCCAAAATGTATGTGGCAGCCAAAGGAGTCTTTGGTTTTTTGATAAGCAGGAATCGCATGTTGGAATCACTGAGATCATGAAATGCAAAGTTCTCTCGCATCTATTTAACTTTTTTCAATCTCATCAAAGTGTAAGCATATGAAACTCTGATGAAGAAACATGTCCTGCGCTGATGGATTCTCCTCTTTATCTGGTGGCTCATTTAGCTGCTTAACTGCGTAAAGGTGTAGCTAATCGGAATATTGAAGAGCACAAGCCAATAACTCATCCATTAAAAGCATGCACATAACTGCCCTGTAAATTTGTGCTGATAAACATACTTTTTCATACAGCTTATCAATTTATTAATTAGTTCTGATGGAGACTTGAAATATATATTCGAAATTTTGCAAGAAACTTCACAATTTCTCAAGTTTTATTTTCCAATTCAAAAGAAATCAATTTTTCCAAAGCTGGAGCAACTACAGAATATGTCTTGAATCAAACACATCTATGTTCCAGGGTAAATCATTGAGCATGATTTGTGGTACACTGTGCTGGCTACTCAAACATGAAGAAAGGGAGAAGAAAGAATTGGAAGAGGCAATCTCAAAACTGGAAGCAGCCATCAAGAAAAGTGATGCAGAGGCTGGTGATGATTGGTTGAGTGCTCAGGGTGCAACAATGAAGTTGAAACAGGAAAAGATAGAGGCCCGCATGAAACTCGAAGGACTGATTAAAAATGAGGAGCGGATCAAAGCTATTCGGTCCAAGAAAGTGAGTTAGACCAAATCTAGTATTTGTCAAATAGAATAAATTATATTCGCTCATAACCTCAACAACTTGTTTCATTCTAGGTATTTACTAAAAACTCCATTTTAAATCATCATTAGAAAAATCCTTTTAAAAAAAAAAGTTTCCAACATATTTTTCTTTAAATTTCCGAAAAACATTCAATCCTGAACTTGCAGCAAGGGGCCCCTGCAGGGTAAAGTACAAGAGCGATCACCCAAAAAGCTAGTCCACCCCTGCAAGTGAATTGCCATCATTTCTCTTTTACCATTCAAGGACAACAGAGCAGAAATTGTTTCACTAAGTAATGAACACAAAAACTTGAGAAAATTACCAGGCATAATGCTGTGGTCATCTTTTTCAAAAATCAAACAAAAATTTTACCATTAACTGACGATAATCTTTCTAAACCACTCAATGTATTGAGAATTTTCAAAAACATTATAAACCAGTTATTTTGTCGGCTGGTTGAACTGTAGCATCCTACTGCCTAAATGTTCTACAGTGTATCTTTAAGAGAACACATTTTTAAAATTTCCCAGAGAAAACTTCTGGAATCTACCTTGATGAAAAAAGAGTGTTCAGTGACCCAAAATACGTCTTGAAAGGGCCAGTACTACATTAATATTTAGCACACAATGTTTGGCAAATTAAAACCACTCTTCAAATCATTACACAAATTTTAGTTTCTTTCATATTTCCTTAGTGTTTAAAATTATTCAAGGGTCCCAGTAAGTAAGTGATATGAGTAAACCATCTGCATTTTATAATAACAAAGAATTTTATCTCAATTCCGGTATGATTTTAAAATGAGTCAACCCTGATATTTTAGGAAAGATCTGAGAAGAAAAAAGTTTACAACAAATCGAAAACTGCAGGTCCAAAATCAGCTGAAAATGAAAACGAAGGACCGGAAAAGCCTACGAATTATGATGATGATGAAGATATACTGTTGGAGGATGACATACTTCTGAAGACAAGTGTAGACATAGATGATGAAGATGAGGACAAAGAGAATGAAGATTTGTACTCAGGTGTTAAAGTAAGTTTAATTTTTAAATTCATGTTTCACTCAATGCTTAAGAGTAGCTGACATTGGAGCAGGGTTTGCCAAAGAAGTCATCAAAATTTGATAGATAAAGTAACTGATGTTGAAATCTAACAAATCTTGGGACTAGAAGACACATGGATGCTTAAAATGCAGGACCATGTATCTCCATTTGCAACGTCGCATACTTCAGGTCATACTTGATTTTTCTTTGGAGAACCAGTCAACTTAATTTCATGAAAACTGCCTTGATTTTTCTTCTCCTGCAGCAGAATATTTTGTATAGGTAAGTTTCAAGCATCACATAAATTTGGCTCATTTTCATTTAAAAAAATGAAATTGGAGCAGAAATTGTGAAACACTGCAATGGAGATATGTGATTTTGCAGTTTGTTGTTGATATTGAGGTTCATCAAAGCCCAAAAAACACAATAGCCAGGTTGTGTGGAATGGATGAAAAAAGTTAGGATTCCCAAGAAAATGCTGAAAGCCAAAGTAAATTCTGTGAGGAAAAGAGAAAAGCGTGGGCCTCGATGGGTAGGTAGTATAGAACAAGATCTGAAGGCAATATATATGAAAGGTTACAGTGACATATCAAAGACTGAGCATAGTGGAAAGGTGTAGTGAAAGAGGCTAAGATCCTCCGCATTTGTACTTGTTTTCACTGAATTATATCCTAATACAATACTTCTTACCTCATTATTCTATTTAAATCTTTGTGGGAAAGAGAAACATAATTTTCAAGGATTCTTTTAATTTGCTCATGTTAACTTTCCAGGTAATATTTTGCTCCAGAACCCATTCTCAACTGTCTCAGTTTGTAAGTGAAGTTCAACGTAGCCCGTTCTCTGATGACATACGATTGGTGCCACTAGCCTCCAGACAGAATTATTGTATCAATGATGCTGTAAGAAAGCTGTCCAATTTGTCCTTAATAAATGAAAGGTTAGCTTGTTTCTTTTTTATCTTTGCAATAATTATTAGTAACCCGTATGTGAGTCAATCTTTTTAACTAAGTTTGCGCACCTATGTATGACTCTTAATGATTTTTGGGTTTGCAAATTATCAGTTTTCCGCTCTGTTTTTCAGATGCAATGAACTTCTTCAAAAGAAATCAAAGTCAGTGGCAACCAAGCAAACTGCTAATGGCGAAAAAGTTAAAAGAAAAAAATGTGCTTCTGCTGGCTGCCTGTATAACAATTCAAACAACATTGTTGAGCTCAGTGATGACATCATCACAGAGGTGCAAGATGTGGAACAACTTGTTGCGGCTGGTCGTTCGCTTAGTGCATGCCCGTATTTTGCATCACGCGGCGCTGTGCCTAACTCCCAGGTTCATTATTACTTTTGTTTTCAACTCATATTTATCTTTCAAGTTCCACAATTAGATGCATGCATTTATAATACATATCCATTTTAAGTTTAGGAAGGACCTTGCAACAGTAAATGGAAGTGTTGGCACTTAATGAAAACAGTCTCAGGAACTGGGCGATCCCTAGAATGTAGAAAGTTCTTAGCTTTCTATTAACTCCTCTCTCTCCCAATTGTTGAAAGTCACGGCTTCTTCCTTTTTATTTTTCTCTTGTAAAGTGCCTCAAAGCACCCAAAAATTATCAGTTTTTTTTTAGGATTTTTGCCTTTGTAATTATCGAGAATGTGAAGATAAAGGAAGTAACATCAGTACCACCAATAGAACCTGTATCAAATTATACCGTCAAATTTTTGACTGCTCTTTAAAATTTGCTTTTTTGGTTCTGAACATCATTTGTGGCAGTCTTGATAACCTGAAAAGTAAGGGGAAAACAGGGAATTAATGTCAACTTGGAAAAATTAGGGGAAGTTAAGAAATTCTCAGTAAATGTCAAAGAATCTTGCGAGTGCCGGGTGGGCTCAGCAACTTCAGACAGTGCTATTCAAGAGAGCTTGAAAAACTTCTGAGCGCCCGTTCCCTTGCTTTGAAATTCTAGGAGTGGAGATTTTGTCCATTGTTCAGAAAAAGTCAACGTAACGAAAAGAAAAATCCAAGTGGAGGTTTTGATCGAAAGTCAGGAAGAAAGTTCGGAAATTCTGGAGTCGGAGAAAAGCAAAAAAGTCAGCAAATTGGGTAATGAATAATTCACGGAAATCCTGTGAAAACTTTCCTTTCAAACTGCAAACTGGGCATAATTCTTTCTAAAGCCAAATTGTTTTTATGCAAACTAATTTTTGTTTTGTGTTTGCACAGTCAAGCAACTAATTTTCTGTTTGTCATGTCGAAAAAGATGTGTCAATCAAGGTTATCTCTCCTTTTTTTGTCCTCTTCATCACCCTCTATTTCTCATGTTTCTCCTCAGATAATTGTAGTGCCTTATAACACCTTACTTCATAAACCAACGCGGGATGCCTGTGGGGTGAAACTTAAAGACAATGTTGTTTTGATCGATGAAGCTCACAACTTACTGGATGCCATTGCACAAACTCACAGCACCTCCATCACGGGAATGCAGATTGCATATGCATACAGTCAGTTGTCACAGTACAGGGACAAGTATGAATCTCGTTTTAGTGCCACCAACTTACTGTATCTGAATCAGCTGATTTACATTGTCGGAAAGCTCATCAGTATGTTAGGTAAATCTTTCAATCCTTTGATTTCAAGTTACCTGCAATATAAGTGAGGGCTAGTTTAGCCAATTTTTTATCATTGGGCAAAGACCGATTATCCATAAGTGTTTAATTAAATTGAGTCCTCAAGCTCCGCAAACTCTTGCCAGTCAGATTTTGGCTAACTAATAGCTTCTGCTCATTCAGTAAAATTGTTTCCTCCAATCATATTGCCAAGAATTAGGCCTCTATACCAAGGAACTTCCGACAGTCATTTCATATTTTGGGCGTTCCGTATCCCTAACCCATTAATTAATGATTTTTAACTTTTCCCAATTTGATTACTAATCATCAATGATTTTGGCCTCCATTCAAAACGTATCATCAATGAGAGAAGTGGATAATTTTAAGGTGTGAAGATAAAATTCTATTAATAGAAAAATATTTTACTGTCAGATTTCAAATGCAAGAGGCACTGGTAAGATGGGCCTGCATGAAAGCCAGCTATGTATTTAAGTCATGTCAGACGTGACTGTTTGTTTTTATTGTGATTCCTTCGGAGTCAACTTTCATGTATATTTGAGAAGTAATAGACCCTTTTTCTTTCAGGAGGTAAACCAGGCTGTGACCCAATCGAAAGCAGCAGAGGAGGAATCGACACAAAACTTTATGAAGTTCCAAATTTTGTCTTTCAAGCTCAGATTGACAATCTCAATATTTACCAATTACTAGAATTTTGCACTAAAAGCCGATTAACTCACAAGCTGCAAGGTTTTTCGGAGCGGTATCAGCCTTCAGTTGTTATCCACAAACCAACCCCTCCTGCAACGGGGGGAATCAAATCATTTTTGCAGCAAATTGTCGATGATAAGAAAAAAATCAAAAAGAAGGTTGAACCAGGTATTAAAAATTTAAGTTCTTGTAATTTCCAAGGTAATTCTCCTTAATGTAGGCTTCTGAGCAATGATCTATTTTGATACAGGCAAAAATGAAAAAAATAGAATCAAATCAATACAAAATATGACAGCATCTAGGTTGGTTATGAAATCATAACATTTGTCCCGCTATTTTTTGAACAGCTCATGCACTTGTTTGTTTAATACATGTTTCAAAAGTATGTTCTTACTATATTTTTTTACATGAAAATTTACCAATGTAATTAAGGGTGCAGAGACTTTTTGACGGTGAGTCATGCGCCCAAAATTGAAGGCCGCAACATTAGATTTTAACAATAGGGGGCCAGTTTGCGTAAGCATAGCATTTTCTTGATGTATGCAAAATCAAAGATAGTTGTAGGGAAGCAAAAAGAAAAAAAAAGTAATCACTGTCAAGTTTGTGAAATTAGAGGAAATAAGACGTTTTCAAAATAGGAAGTTGGAGAACTTTTTGCATACCAAAATGCTTTCATGTTCAATTTTTAAATTATGTTTTTAAAAAGTTCAAGAAAAAACATAGTACACAAGTTACTTCTCTTACACCAAGGTGATTCATCAAGTTCAAGTGACGTAATTGAACTGGCATGCGATATATTGCATCGATTAGGTAAAAAATGTCAGCAGATTTTGAACTTCTACTAGAAAAAAGGACGACAACCCCTCTGCATAAGCTTAAAGAATCATTCTAAATCCAAAAATCAGCAAAATTCAGAGAAATGAAAGCAGAATAATGTTTGGAAAAAAACCTCACATTTGATATAGAAATCGATAGCTGTATTGAACGCGAGATTTTTTGCCAAACATTATTCTGCTTTCATTTCTCTGAATTTTGCTGATTTTTGGATTTAGAGTGATTCTAAAGGCTTATGCGGATGGGCTATCGTCCTTTTTTTTGCAAAAAATTCAAAATCTGCTGAGATTTTTTACCTAATTGATGTGATAAATCGCATGCCAGTTCGACCATGTCACTTGAACTTGACGAATCACCGTAAGAAATATCTCTCGATAGTTTCACCTTCAACACGCTGTGAGATATTATATTTTTTCTGACAATTTTGGTCCAAGTTTTCTTCCTTTAAGGGCCCTAGAAGTTGTTTTCCTTTTTCCCCTTTTTTTCTTTTGTTCACAAGGATTCAAGTCTGTAATTTCAATCCTAATTTTAACAGAACCTGTGGAAGAAAAACCTAAAGATCAACCGACTTGCAACAACCCTATCCTGCCTGTATTAGCTTTCATCACAAGTTTAACAAGTCACACAGAGGATGGAAGGGTTGTCTGCTCCAGACAAGCAACTGTTGGTAAAGGGTCGCTCAAATTCTTGCTCCTGAATCCTGCCAGTCAGTTTGTGCAAGTTGTTAAAGAAGCCAGGTACTTGTTTTGTATGTCTAACAAAATATAACTACAGCTGTGGAAACTAGAGTTAGTAGTTGGAAGGTAATTACGTTGAAAGTAAAAACAACCTGCATAACATGCGTGCAATATTTCAAAAGTCCTACTAACTTTTTATGCATTTATCATGAAAGGATTGTGCCAAGCATTACCAAAATTTTAGGTTCTAACTTTCCCCTTGGCCCAGCCTCCAGATATCTCATTATATTAAGTTTGAAAGCGCTAAATATTGGTATATTTTAAAGTAAAACGATGATATTTTTGTCTCCGGGACATGTGCCTAAATCCAATATCTTCTAATTTTTGTGGTTCTCTGGATATGAAATTGATTGGGATGCAAGAAAAGGAAGTTTCAGTTCCTTTCCATAGATATAGAATCAATTATGCAATTTTGTCGCCTGGAAATTTCAGTTTTCCTAGTTTTAATAAAAGATTTGGGCCCTCATGATAGTTAAAAAAAATTTGGAAAAATTACATAACGATTAGATCTAAACATCTTATTAAATGAAGAATCACAAATGCTAAGGCTTCTCGAATCTTTCCTGTTTTTCCCTACGAAATTCACCCTTTGCATTTTCCGTGCCCTCAAAATATGGAATACGTAGAATTGAGTAGACACTGGGGATCTGCTGTCTTTTTCTAACCAACAAACTCCTAGCATTTTGTGTTTTGCATCTTGGTCACCGTTTGTGTAGTAATATGGTGATGTTAAAGTGGAAAGTTATCAGTATGTAGTATGTCAAATCATCAAAGTATGTCAATCATCTCAGGGGCTCCAGTAGGAGGAAAGTAGTAATGGTCCCTCGAATTCCATTTTGTCACAATGCAATCAATGCCCTTGAAATAATAATAACTTCATCCAATTAAACCTCATGGATTGCCTTCTTCAAGTGTTTAAAGGTCATTTTTTTTCTTTGGTGTCCAGATGTGTAATACTGGCTGGAGGTACAATGGAGCCTATCAGTGAGTTCAAGGAACAACTCTTCATGGCAGCTGGCGGAGACCCAGCTCGAATTGTTCATCACTCTTTTGATCATGTCATTCCACAGGAAAATATTTTACCAATTATTTTCAATGCTGGTCCCACCGGCAAGCAACTGGATTTCTCCCACCAGTTTAGATCAACTCAGTCCATGGTATTTACATGATTTATGTACCTTACAATATTAATTTTACTCTAATCGCACATCTAAATATTGGGAAGTCAAAGTACAAGCTTCTTCGCATAAAGCTTGAAAACACTCAAAGCATCTCTACTGTGGAATCATCAACGTTCATGGATTATCTGCATGTAAGAGTAAAAATTAAGTTTCAGGCTTGATGCTCTTTGAATTTACCCTCAGGTATCAAAAGTTGAAGACTGAGAGAGAGTCCTTTTCAATCAAGAAAACTTAGATCTAAGGCACTGATGAATTACAGTATCACAGTAACTATTAATTGACTTATCTTAGTTATGATGACACTGTTCTTTTATCTAAAAGTGCTCTTTGATTAATGATATTTTATATTGTCGCTCAGTCTGATTCTGGAACTTAATGTGCAGAAGAAGGTTGTGGTTAAAAATGAAATGATTCAACATTGGAATTAAAGTTTTGCTTGTCACTCTAGATAATTTTAGGAGCATTATTTTGACCTTACCATGCACAAATTTAAAAAGTAAATTACCCAGAAGTATAAATAACTTCCAAAGCCAGGCACAACAAGGAAAGTCTCAAGTTCAAAGTAGAGAAGAAATAGGGAAGGGAAGTGTCTAGCTTTTCGCCAAAGTCAGTCGGCTTTCCCCCATCTTCAACCTGAATTCATGATCTCTTTGCCGTAAGATTTCAAAAAAGGAAAAGAAAAAAAAGTCCCCTTTTAACTGTAAAATAGGACTTCTCGACCGCTGAAGCACAAATTTTGCACGGGGGTGGCTGTTTTGGGAAGTTTCTGCACCCTTGGAGAAAAAAATATAAGCGCATGAGTTTTAACACTACCTCATAATAAATCTATCAGAAGTAAAACTAGTTGAACTCCAATTTTACAGCACAATCAGATGGGAAGTATTCATATGAGTAGCCACATTTGCAATTTGTATTTTTTATCCCACCTTATAAACTGCGTTAGTTTCTACTCATATCTGTCATATTTTACATATCAACATGTTAACTTTTCTCCTTTCAGCTGAGTGAGTTGGGACGAATTTTGATCAATGTATGCAATGTAGTTCCTGCCGGTGTAGTCTGTTTCTTCCCTTCTTACGATTATGAAAACCTGGTTTTCACGCATTTTGAGAAGACTGGCGTGATTGAAAAAATATCCCTCAAGAAGAAAGTAAGTTTCATTTTATTTTAAGGTTCACTCTTTCAGATTTTTTATTTTTTTCTTCTCTTTTTTAAGAGAAATAGATTTAGATGAAATTTTAAGTTTTATGATTGTAAGATTTCAAGCAGAAAGAGAGTCAATGGCATTTGAGTCACTCCAGGCCAACCCATTTGCGAAGACAGCTTTTCTTTCTTTCCCCCTGTATCCAGACAAAAATTTTGTCTCTCTGTTCCCATATTTTTTCGCCAGTTTTCATGTACTTAGTCCAACTAATTAATTCCACCCGTGATCTGCACAAACTTCACAAAGGACTATGCACACAATACCAAGAAATTTGGCGTTGGCTAAATTTCAAGATTACCTTATATGATGTTCCTTAAAATCTCCTGTGTGAGATGAGCTTAGAAACCCAAACTTTCTACAGCAATTTCATTTTGATCTCACAGGCAATTAGGCCTGAGAAGTGCGTTTTTCAGCTGTTTTACACACTTTATCAAGTGTTTTAATGTAGGTTATCAAGGAATGAGCGCATTTTTCCCTGTCTCCTGCCAGTCAGGAAAATAAGACAGTCAATGAATGAGCAGCGCTCAGTGCGCCAACTGAGTTTAAAACAAAAGGCTCTGTATGTGCGACTTAGTGATGCTGCCATCTCTCTGTATGATGACATGTTCTGAATTGCAAAAAATGCATTTTTCGGACGTGATTTTCTCGAGATTGCACATAGAAAGTTCGATTTTCAAAGCTCATCTTACTCAGGAGACTACTAAGGAATATTTTATGTAAAAATCTGTAAATTTAGCTTTTGCCAAATTTCTTAGTATTGTGTGCGTAGTGCGTAGTAAGAGCCCCAAGCAATTATACTTTTATCCTCTTAGTATTTCTTTCAAGCATTGTTGTCAGAAAGTACTGAAAAATCAGCACTTTGCCCCATTTATTTAGTCCCTTGTACTCAAAATATCAACATTTGATCAGACAACCTTGCAACCATGCTTGAAAGACACTTTATTAGTCACGTTTTATTCTTTACTGAAATATCCACAGCTTTTTTAAATTTGTTTTGTAGCAAGTGATACCAGGTATGTCTACTGAGTAAGTGAGTTCTCACTCGTGGGTCATTTGTATTTATCATCAAGGACATTAATAGCAAAAAATGGGATGTATGAAGATTTCCTCATTCTCATTGTTCATTTTTTCTTGTTACTCTATTACAGGTTTTTCGTGAACCCAAGAAACCTGGCCAGGTTGAGACTGTGTTATCCCAGTATGCAGCAGTGATTCATCAAGCTGGATCTGGTAGTAAACTGAGTGGTGCTCTGCTTTTCAGCGTAATAGGTTTGTTAAGAAATATTTTATTTAATGACAACGTTTTTTTAAAATACTTTCAATAGACATTAGCCTGGTTTTCAAGAGAGCAGAAAGTTTCAAAATGTTGACTGTTTCCTGCAATCTGGCGTTTTTACCTCTTATTATCTTTCTGAATTGCCTTACGGCGGAGCATTCAATTTTTCAGCAAAAAATGTTTTGATATAAGATTCGATTTATCCCACTTTTACAATACTTAAGCATTTTAAAGGGTCATTCCTTCTAAAAACTGCCTCATAACCCAAGATTTGCTGTGTTCCTGGGCTTGCAAGGGCCAGCATTCTCTGCACCCCTGCTGGTTTTATGAAAAAGAATTGCAGCAAAAAAAGAGCGAAAAATTCAAGTTGTCCATCAGACACCCCTACACCCTCCTTTCTGCAAAAACTCATCCGTATGTTCAGTATCCAGAAGTTAAAACTTTTGAAAGGTACATGCCTTAAAAATTAAGCATTAATATTTGCGTGAAATGAATGTGATTATTGCAGCAAATGATGAAATTATCATTTGAAGAAATTTCATCAGAATTAGTCATTTCTATCAAAAAAAAAAAAAAATAAATAAATAAATAAATAAATAATAGGTGAAATCAAATCTAGTAATCCTTACTTGTAAAATCTCTGTTTAGTAATGTTACAAAAACTCTTCCCTGTTTTTCTATCGCTTTTTTTTAAAGTTTCTCCTGAATGTATGAAAGATTTTTTTTTCAATTATTGTAGTTTTTCATATTTTTCCAGCGTATGAATATTCCAGCCTCTTGTACTAAAAAAGAGGTTTTTAATCAAAACAAATGCACTGGGTAGAAAGAAAGAGCAAATCACTAGTACAGTAAAAGAAATAGAATATGAAATTATTTTTGAAGACTCAGTTTTTATAAATGTATCGCATTTTCTACCATTGCAGGAGGCAAGTTAAGTGAAGGTTTGAACTTTAGTGATGACCTTGGACGTTGTGTGGTAGTTGTTGGTTTACCTTACCCCAATTCTCAGTCACCAGAACTTCAGGAAAAAATGAAATATCTCAACGAACATATCGTGAGTTTATTTTTTACAGTTGTTACCAATCATACTATTAGAGGCTATCAATAAATGTTGTCATACTTTTTTTGGGCACCCTTCCTTCCCCCTGTGTCACTCACGTGTCAGGCAGTTTCAAATTCACCCTTGAAATTTACATCAAGTTTGGGTAGGTCCACCCTCTCCTCCTCCATTCTACTCGTGAAAAATTGGCACCCTGAGCCATTTTCAATGGAAATTTTCTTCAAACGGGCGTTTTGCGCTGATTTTAGCCTATTACTAAGTTTGGCTTAACCCCTTTTCTCTCTGTCTCTATTATCAGGTACATGTCAGGCAACCCTTGGCTTCCTTCCCTTAAGGTACCCTGACATCATTTACGGATGGCCACTCAGAATATCCTCTCAACAAATTTTCTCCCTAAAAATGAATAAGTTTTCATTCCTAAAGTATTGTAAACAATTCTCATTGCTCTCAGCAAAGTTTTGAAAGAGATCTCCTCTTCCTACATCGTCATATAAATGTTGAGAGCTATTTCTCATAATAGTTAAATAAACCTTTATTTATTCTTGTCTCACCTCATCAGTTATCATGAATATAGGTTTAAAGTTGGCAAACTTTGCCATCTTATGGAAATGATGAAAAGAAGTATCTTTAAGCAAGCTTCAGGATCTATTTTGCTCATACCAAATCCGTTTTGCTCGATGACTGATCTTGAATTTTACCCGGATGATTTTCATAAAATTCGATCTCAAGGCAGGAGAATTTATCATCAAATTCAGTTTTAAGTTTCTATTAACATGAAAACAAGCATGGGAGATGAAAGTTTGAATGCAACATTCATGGTGTTATTTATTCAATTACTCTTGCTTTCCATTTACCTTTTTCTAAATGTATTTGGTCTTCATTGTCTGGTGAGAGACTCATGAGTTAAGTATCTATTTCGTGTAAATCATGCTCCTTGATAATTTTCCATGTAAAACTCAAATTAAGTCATCATGAATTGATCTGGGTTTGATATCAATTTAAGTAACGCATAAATTCGTGTATCAATTTACTGTAACACTATTTCCAGTCCAGGCTCAAAGCAAGTAAAACTAGTAAAATTGTTAATCATGGATTAGATTCAAAAATTATTAAACATTTATCATTGAACAATTTTACAGACTTCTTACCGCTCTATTGTTTCATTTTAAAAAAAATAACTTAATTGTACAAAATATCACCTCAAAATAATCGTTCAAAAATGAATGCAGTGGATTTTAATTTTAATTCTTTACATTTTATGTTAGCGATCTTTTTTCCCTCTGCCTTTTGGTTGCTTTGCAGAAAGTATCAAGTAACTAATGCAATGCATCTCTAATACATATCACTTTCCTTTCTTTTTTTAAACTTCTCAATCTTTTCTTTTCAGGGAGAAGGTACAGGGCAGCGGCATTATGAAGCCCTGTGTATGCGAGCAGTAAACCAATCAATTGGCCGTGCAGTGAGGCACAGCAAAGACTATGCGGCAGTATTATTGCTAGATCATCGCTACTCTCGGCGGAACACAACTTTAGCGTTACCATCCTGGATTCAAGCATCATTGCAAACTCAAGAAAAGTTTGGACCAGGGTTTGCTCAAATAGCCAAGTTTTTTTCAGCCAAGAAGAATTTGTAGATCCTCACCAACTTTTATCGGTGGTTTTAAGCTCATAAACTGTTTTATGAAGCTTCCTCTAAAAATGCGAGAAAAGGGTGAGCTTAACCTTTTATTCATTTTTGTTTTCAATTTGTTCCTTTTGTTTTTGCTACGTTTCAGAAGTCCTTTAAGTAGCTTTCCTTTTACCCTTAAAAAGTTTATCTTATTTCCAGTTACCTATGATTCTCTACCTTAAAGCTATATCGTCATCCTTAATAACATTCATTTTCCAAAGATTAAATACAGGGTTGTTAACGTTATCACTCTGACCTTTGAAATTTACATGTTAAAATTCATAATGACAACAGTTTCAAGGAACTTCATTTCTAAACTGCTGCCTTGAGAAGCACTATACCATCTTCATGTACACAATATTTTTAGCTTTTGTAATTTTTCATAATTTGTTGATTTTTTGTTTTAAATTTTGCCATACTTTTTCATTGAGAATTACTCGTGTAAAGTGAATTTTTTCATAATTCTTTCTTTATCGAGCATTTCATTACTTTAATAAGTTCTGATCCAGGATTGTTTTAAGCGTCATATTTATCAGCACGGTCTAAAGCAGTTCTATGACTGTTTCTTCTGTTTTTATCACAATTCCATGACTTTTGGTTGGTTCTTGCGTGAACATTGAACAATGAACAAAAATCTTAATGTGCTAATCAGTTTGACTTTTTTCGAAACCTTAAATCTAGGCATATTTCTCGGTAATGCTCTCAAAGAAATGCACCCATCAAATTTTTAATTTTTTGTATGTATAAGTTACTTTTACAGTGCGCTAGGGTGCTCTATGACACCTACCTGCCTTAGAAAGAAATAATTTATTCTCGAAACTGGGGAAATTTTTTCTCAAACTAATTTGTGATTGTATTAAAGAATTTATGGTTAGACCATTCTAAACGCATATTGAAATTTAATTTCCTTGCTGAAGCTTTTGTCCTCAGTCCATTGAATAATTGCTCTCATTTTAGAACCTCCTTCCTTAACTCTTTGCTGTGCCGCCACTTCATTCTTCTGTTTTGAAACCAAACCTTCACCTGAAAAATAGATCAGAGATATTGGAAGTGAGGTGATATAGCTATCGATTATAACTGTAAAAGAAAACATGATTTTAGGGTTGTTTTTGATCATTTTTGGCTGTATTTAGAAGCTAGTGAAGAAGCCTCAATGGTTCTCTGAAATTCTTCACAAATTTTCATGTTAAGTTAAATTTCTCGTGGTAAGAGGAGAAAGGGGTGTAGGATGTGGAGAGAGATACCGAAAAAATAATTTTCAGATGTGCTTTTTTTTGAAGAATTTTCTACATAACCGACACCATCTCTTGAGCCATAGCTTCTGAATCTAGTGCGATAAACCATACAGACATTGAAACTCTCAAATGACGTATCTCGTTTGTGGTTTTTAAAAATCTCTGCTCCTATCTATTTTATTTCTTTGAAAGAGAACAAATCAATATCATTCCTTGGAAGTCTTTTAGAATTGACGTTGTACAGAGAAGGAAAATCTTGGAAGGTTTTTAGAATTGACGGTGATTAGTTCTCGAGTAAAATAATAAAACATGACAGGAGGTCTGCAACGTTGCGAACCCAGATACGTGGTTCGGAGGTTTGGGAGTTTCATCATCCATATGTTGTATTACGACAGCATAGCTAGAACTACAGTAGCAAAGACTGTTACAAAGCTTTTTTCAAAAACTCTCTAAAAATTGTTAAAATCCATGGAGGAGGAAACCCTTAATTAGTATTTTTTTTAGCAGAATTATGTTATAAAGTAGGTATTTAAAAACCAATATTCTTTTAATACACCTCTGCTTCTGCTCAAATTTTTCAACACTTTTTTAAATATTTGAGAGGTTTAAAACTACTGTAGATATTTTAAGAGTTTTCTAACACTTTTTTTTATGGAATTTTACCTCTTGAAAATATCAAAAGCTTTTTGATGACTTGATGTCCTTTTAAAATTTACTTACAAGTCCTTTAAATGTATCTTGCTTTCTTTCTTCTCTTTATTTTCCTTTTAAACTTGTTGCTAATATGAGGCAATATTTGGCAAAATTTTGCCTTACTGAGAAGATTGGATCCGTGCAACATTATTTTGTAGACGGTGCGGTTCCCAGTCCAAGGCATAACCTATGATCACGTATTATCCATCATATAATACATATAAATGGGTAAAATGTGAGCACTGAGATAGTCATTGGTTCTTCATTGTGCTCCCGATTCATAGACGCCGTACTTAAAGCAACGACGGCTCACCTGCGCGTCTGTGAGGCCGAGAGTGGCGGCCAGCTGTCTTCTGTCCGGTTTTGTGATATACTTCTGCACTTGGAACCGCTTTTCAAGGCCCTTCCTTTGTAGACTTGAGAATACCGCTCGGGACCATGACCGCTTCCTTTTGGCCACAGAGCTGCCTTTGTGTCCCTCTTCACCCGAAACTTAAATGGAAAGAAGGAACTTCGTGAATCAAATCCCTGACATAAACCTTTATTAAGTTTTTAACACTCGCAACAGCGAAATTTTGCTACTTCATAATAATTGTGTAAGAAAATCTTCCAGAATAGCAAACGGTTTTTCTTTTCCACCAAAAAAAAAAATATTATTTTTAAAGGAAAATAGTTGTGTACATTTTAATACTGTACATATCGACGGTGAAACTACCAAACCACGTATCTCGTTTGCGGTGTTTAAAAATCTACGCTCACATTTTATTTTTTTGAAGTAGACCAAATCAATATCAATCCTTGAAATTTTCACGGAATTTTCTCCGCACAAAGAGGAAAAATCACAGAAATTTGCAAGACTGGATGTTACGTAGTTTTTCATTTAAAAAATAAAGTATGACAGGAAGTCTGCGACGTCGCAAACCGAGATACGTGGTTTGGTAGTTTCACCGTCGATATGCTAAGTATTTGTAAAAGGAAAGAAGAAGCTCCATGATTTTGAAAACTCCGTAATCGTGCTGGTTCCTTTTTACTAAATAGGATGCAAATTAATCTGAAATTCTCAAAAATAAAAAATGTGTATTATCAACAGGCTTTAATAGTAATGGAGAATTTGCATAGAAATTTTTTATAATTGTTTTCTGATATGGGAAATAGTATAAAAATAGATTCAAAAATGAGAAAATGCACTGCCCAATGACGTCATCTAGGCGGCATTTCCCATTTAAACACATGTATTTTAGCAGAGTAGATAATTTTGTCATATCTTCTCCAAATGATCGTTCAATTCATGAACCAAGGGTATCCTCGTGTTCAGTTCACTCATTAGTTTCCATTTAAACACGAAATTCATCAAATTTCGGACACCTGCAAATTTTCTATTCACGTAACGTATTGAAAGGAAAAAATGTAAGGAATAACACTTACAAGTGGTGAATGGTTTGATGGGGTGCGGCACGTAAATGTTGGGGTTGTGGGGTACGTGCGCGGGCGAAGGGGGCAGTGCGGGGGTGGCGGTGAGGTACAGGGCAGCCCCGATCCGCTGATCCATAACAGTGTTTAGCTGGCAACAGCGCCACAGGGAACTCACACATTCGGAGCATGGTGGTTTCCTTGGTTCCGGCTCTGAGTCTAAAAAAAAAATTCAAAAAGACACTAGTCAGTTCATCACTCATTGTGATATGGACGATTTTTCGATATTGAAGTTGGAAAAGTTGAAATCGAGAAAACTGCATCAGCTTTACCGCCGTGCTCAGGAAGAACGGCGTGTGAACATTCGAGAGTTGCCAAATTTCCCTTGATTCGAATTTCCCTTTAAACATGTTTTTTGACAACATTCGTGCTTATTTTTCCTTGAAATTTTCACGTGTTTGAGATTAAATTGCGTACAAAATCGTCTGGAAATTTTGGAAAATAATATTCCCAATTTCCCCAGTAAATTCGGTTTTTATCAGAGGAAACTTGGCAACCTCTGAAGGCTCGTACGGCGTTTTTAGCATGGCAGTTTAGGAGAGTAAACTATTTATCTGCCAAATTTCTTTGCATCCTCGCGATAAACACGAAAGGAGGGGGGGGGGGGGGGGGGGTGGGGGGTGCAAAGGGGTCGCTCGGAGGGAAGCTGCCGAGTACAAGTCACGTTTATTTTCATTATTTTTTTTAAAATTCAGTGACTTTAGCCGTTGCAGGAATTGATCTAGTTAGTCGGTGTTTTAAGTTCGCCTTCAATTTCGAGTGATGCCGTGCAACACCTGCGTGGTCGAATAGTTGCGTCGCCTTTTGTCCCTCCGCCCCTCCCCTACTAGTTCTGCCAATGCCACTCGCTGCAAATATCTTCGGATTAAAAATGAATGGTTGTAATTTCATAGAAATAATAAATAGAATGTAAAATAATTGATGCAATAAAATATATTACCATTTAGCATCAAAATCTCAAACGTTTTTTGCCGTATAATTGAGATGTATTTTTTAATAGGAAAATACTAATCTCAACTGCATCAGCTGTAGATAGGACGTCTATTTGCGAAAAGGAACTATGTCCATAGGGTTTACGTGAAACAGGATTCCCACTAATACGTCCAATTTTTGAAACGAAAAAATTGAAATTTTGGTTTTTTAAATTAAGTAGGTTGTAATTTTTCGTAGTGCTTACGTAATACCATATTGGCAAATTGGTTTCTATTATAGATGTAAAAACTGCTATTTCAAATACCTAATCCATTTCGTTTCCAGTCTGTATCCCACCTGATAACGATATACGAATAAATCGAGAAATCGTGAAGACCCCATGAGCAACTAACAGCGAGTAGCCCCCCCCCCCCTTTTATGCGCATGGGGTCAAAATACGGCATCTTAAGTCTCGAATTTAATTAAAATGCCAAAATGTAGACGGTAGATCAAACCGTCGCACTCAGGAAGTGTATAAGTTTTTGGCGTTATTCACAATTCCTTTGATTTATAACAGGTTTCATTGCTTTCCAATATTATACTGGTTAAAATTTAAAGCTACCTCTCAGTCAGTACTTTTCACGATGAAGCAAGCAATGATTATAAAATGCAACAAAAAATTCCTGTCAGGTGTGGGGTTCGAACCCACGCTCACACTGTGAACCAGAGCTTAAATCTGGCGCCTTAGACCGCTCGGCCAACCTGACTTCGGTGCGAGATGCGGGAAAATACGCTCATTTAAGACTCACGGACGCTCACTTCGTGCAATGGCGGCCGCATGACGACGTATTAGCGTCGCGTCGCATACTCGCGTCTAGCCGTATGTAAACGTATCGCTAAATTGTAAGAAAAGTGAATTTTGTTGTAGCGGAAATCGGTCGATTAATTATATATTTTTACGTAAGGATAGTAAGCAAAATCAGCACGAATAATTTAACGAAAAACAAACAAAAGAAAATGCCTAAACAATGCTAAGCAATTCATGAAGCTAGTTTTCGAAAATAGGAATTCCATACCCCTTAATGAATTGCAATTGAGTAGCATTACATAATACATTCAGAAAATGGGTGATGAAAAAAGTCCGAAATATTCGCATTACGAGTACAGCAATAAATCGCAATGAAATGTACTTTTATTTGTAATATGTAGGTATCTAGGTATTATTCAAAAATTAAGAATGACTAGGAATAGCAAGTTTGTAGTTCACATATAGGTAGATTAAAATTGCTACTTAAGAGAGGTCTCATATTGTAATTCACAGATAAATTGATTATAAATAGCTTATTTCGCACAATAAACCTTTAATGTCTGCTACATGGGAAATGTGCCTGCAAAGCATTATCTTCAGTCCTTATTCTCACATTCCAAGCATTATTCTCCGCACTTATAATTTTTGAGACTAAAAATTTGAGGTGCATGTGTTGAGCTCAAAGCTACTCCCCCTTAATTTTGTCCCCCATAAGCTGACTTCTCGGCTGTAGGAATCTCTTAAATTGAGTCCCTTTCAGAGAGGTTTCGCTCATTTTTTCTCTCTCTCTTGTTCTTACTTCTACCAGTGATAGTCAGGTAAAACAACTCGGTAAGTCAGAGTCATTTCTACGGCCGAAATGCGCTCCTGTATAAACGTAATTAGCAGTATCATGGCATGTTTCACTATTTTTTCCGAGGAAATCACACTATTGCGCTCTCTGATGATGTCAGACGTGGACCAAATATCATGTGCGTTATTTTCTTTGGCATACTCACATAAAAAAATTGGCCAGGCACCTCACGATCACGATTTCTAAATCGACCGTGAGAATGAAAAATTAAGGGAACCGATCGGATTGTCACGAAATCGATTTGGCGTACGGAAGTGCAACTTGGAGTGCCTTGGAGAAGCCCGGTCTCCGAGCGGAGCGCCTACACCTGTGAGTGATACCAACTTGCTTACGCGTCGCGCCTCCCTCACCCGCCTAGTCGAGCCGCGCCGCGCCCCGCCCCGCCGGCCGCTCGGCTCTACACCTACACCAACAATAACTCCATTCATTCATCTGTCTCCTCAGTTTGCAGCTTCACCCATCAGATAGCTCTGTCCTCTTGAATAAACGCTCGATGAAAGTTTTGAACACTCCAAGCATTCTGACCGGTAGATTTCCGTTGAAAGTGAGATGTTCGGATGACCGCTCTACGTACCGCTTTTTGAATTCAAATTGTCGAGCGCAAATTACCAGAGTATCTTATTAAGCTCTAGAGGAGGGAGACATCCTGTGGACGGATAGCGAGCTCGTCCAGGTGCGACGGCTACGACGAACTGACCACATTATCGCTTCTCGGCCTTAATGGCTAAGATCAAAGTGTAGTATCTGTTCTTATCAGCTTAATATCTGATACGGTCCGCACTGCGGACCCAGTATATTAAACTTATTTTTGGAAACAGGCGAAGTGTCAGGGGCTTGCTCCACCTTTGCCACGGATCGGCCCGGTATTGCAGTACCGCCGGGATCGGTCCAATAATAATCTTCATTTCCCTCTTTACGCCAAATGAGTTGTCGATCGATACCGTTGAGCGAGTAGGGACAGTATCCCTTTCATCCTTGTGATGGGAAAACGGAGAACATACGTCTAAGTGCAGAGAAACCAGAAAATATACTAAAAATTCTTCTCTGTACCATGTCAACTACTGTCCTAAAATATTGTTACCGAATTACAGCAAGGGCGGCCTGGCCAAGGGTTCCAAGGTATGTACTTACTTCAGCATACTGGCGCTGCCATTTTTTAATCCAATTGCTTCAAATATTCATAACCTTTGAAAAATAAAATCAGCTACAAAGCTCGTGCTTATAATGAAACAATTATTATGAAAAACGATACAAATTACGGTCTATGAATCCTAAATGGGAATTATTAATTCTAGTCTATTGTTAACATATTTTTGCCATTTTTTTCATTTTCAAAATTATCTTAAATCACGTTGCCGCTTTAAGGGGTATTTACAGTTGATGAGGATGAGGATTGAATTGAAACCTGTCAAAATTATTGTTCATTCGTGTCCACATCCAACAGTATGTTGTACTGCACTTTTCTGAGAAATTCCGGGAATCCGAGTAATAGCTATTTAAAAATTCCTGAGTAGACTTAGAGCTTTTAAAACAAAATCACGATTCATCGGGAAACACTTTTTCTTTTCTTGGTTTTTTCTCTGAAGGTCGAAGGCACTTGATACGATTTTCAAACTAATCATTTTCGCAGAGAAGGACTTCATGTATAGTACTTCCATGAATTTCTCAAGATTTTCTGGATTTTTCCGTTTTCAGGGGGCCCTTATGGGCGTCCTACCAGGGCCCCCTAAGCCACCCGTCAGAACGTCTAGTATGCTGAAGTAAGTACATACCTTAGAACCCTTGGCCAGGCCGCCCTTGCTGTAATTCGGTAACAATATTTTAGGACAGTAGTTGACATGGTACAGAGAAGAATTTTTAGTATATTTTCTGGTTTCTCTGCACTTAGACGTATGTTCTCCGTTTTCCCATCACAAGGATGAAAGGGATACTGTCCCTACTCGCTCAACGGTATCGATCGACAACTCATTTGGCGTTAAGAGGGAAATGAAGATTATTATTGGACCGATCCCGGCGGTACTGCAATACCGGGCCGATCCGTGGCAATGGTGGAGCAAGCCCCTGACACTTCGCCTGTTTTCAAAAATAAGTTTAATATACTGGGTCCGCAGTGCGGACCGTATCAGATATTAAGCTGATAAGAACAGATACTACACTTTGATCTTAGCCATTAAGGCCGAGAAGCGATAATGTGGTCAGTTCGTCGTAGCCGTCGCACCTGGACGAGCTCGCTATCCGTCCACAGGATGCCTCCCTCCTCTAGAGCTTAATAAGATACTCTGGTAATTTGCGCTCGACAATTTGAATTCAAAAAGCGGTACGTAGAGCGGTCATCCGAACATCTCACTTTCAACGGAAATCTACCGGTCAGAATGCTTGGAGTGTTCAAAACTTTCATCGAGCGTTTATTCAAGAGGACAGAGCTATCTGATGGGTGAAGCTGCAAACTGAGGAGACAGATGAATGAATGGAGTTATTGTTGGTGTAGGTGTAGAGCCGAGCGGCCGGCGGGGCGGGGCGCGG